TCCTGCGCCCCTCGGAACCCGCGGGGCGGACCGACCGTCGGAGCAAGCACAGCACCCGGAGTCAGGCTCTGGGCCGCTCCCTGTGCGCGCCCTCAGCCTAGCGGGGGGATCCCTGTGGGGCACAGGCCGCACAAAGCCTTATTGTGGCCTGGCGATGGCCGCCACAGAGTGGCTTTTGTTCCTCCCCTTACCCGATGGCTGTCACGCTGATTGCAGGCTCAAGCCATGGGGAGGGTGACGTGCCAGGCAGGGTCTGCCCGCTGGGAGCCGCATCTTCCTGGGGCTGGGGTCGCACACTAGCGCACTCAGCCATTGCGTTGCCCCGGCGTGGGCCGGCCAAGGTTGGTGGTGGTATAGTGAGAAAGGGCTCTGGCAGCAACCACTCTGCCTTCCGGCCTCTGTGGACCAGACTGGACAGTTCAAAACTCGTCTCCAATGGAGAGCATAGGCAACGAACTAGGTTTCCTGCGAACCTGAAGTGCAAAAGTGCTTAATAGAATTTCACCCATAGGGAGCCCCATTTTGCTAAGGAAAAAATCTTGTGGCCCACCTTCTACCCTACATCGTCTCCATTTCTCACCAGAACACAATTTCAAATCGAACTTTTCTTTATTAAATTAAAAATTAAAAAAAAAAAGACCACGAGGGGATGATTCCTTCCCCTCCACAATGTTACCCTCGCCCCAAGCTCCAGAGGCTTTGCCTTTTAACTTGGGGCCCTGAGGGAGCATAGGATAGAAAAGGAGGATCCAAAAATCTCAGGAAAAGCATTCAAAGGCACCAAGCGGCTTTAAAAGTCATTGGAGGTGGAATTGAAAGTCCCAGGTTGCGGGGGGCGGGCTGTGGGTTCACCCCCAAATCTGTTTGGGGAGCTCCGTCCTCCTAGCTCTGTAAATAATTTTCTCATGGCTTCTAGGCACCAGGCCTAATACAGTGCCTCACACAGAGTAGGCACCCAATAAATACTTGATTTATTTGATTCTGATCCCAGAGAAAGTCTTTCCCTACCCAATCTTCAGGAAGGTAACCTCCAAACCAATGTCCTACTGTTAGATGGGCTTCCCCAAAGAGCCTGTTTAATATGGCAGCTGCAAGCTCTCTGTAACCATGGCAACAGGGCATTAGCCTGATGAGGTCATGATGTCTGAGGCAAGCAGTGGAAGGACCTGCTCTGGGGTCAAGGGAGCTGGGGTACATTCCAGTCCTCCCCTCCATAGAACTTGAGGTTTCACAGCTTCTGGATGGGACTGGGGATATTAGGGATCACCTCATTGAGAGATACCTACATCCAGTCTCTTACAGAGATCTAGCTAACCAACCCAATTTGTAAAAACTCCACTGAAAACGAAACCCCACTAACTGAAACCCTGATGATAGAAATTCTGTTAAGAAGATCTCTGCTATCACTTTGTCTACAGAGATGCATTTGGCTAGAATTTCCTTAGCAGAAATGGATCCCCTTCCCTCCCTGGCTCACTCTACCTGACCCGTCATCATAACTTAGATAAATAGAATTATTATTATTACTATTCATTACTCCTGGTACATAGGGGTTAAATATACAAACCTGGGAGCAGCCTCCCTGTGGGTTCACCCCACCTTTGGGATCAGATCCCCACTGGTCTACCCCCCTCTTGGCACCTTGCTCTCAGCCAGGTCACTAACCCCAATCCCCCTAACTCTGGTCCCTAATGAAGAGGCCACCAGGGGGCAATAAATAATCATTATCATCACTGTTTGTGAAAGGGGAAAAAAGCTCTGGAGAATGGAGAGCAGAGGAGTAAAAAGTTGTGAAGATGAACCTGGAAGCTGAGGGGAGCACTAAATGAGCTTGGAAACCAAAAAGGATGTCAAAATTAGTGAGAGAGAGAAAAACAGTGCTGGAAATCCAAGTGGAAGAAAGGTGATTTGGTATGGCAAGACCCAGGACAGAAGCTATGAGCAGGGGCCAGGGAAGGCCTTAGGAGGCCAGAGGTCAGGAATCAGACACGGTGAGGCCTGAGGTGAGTTAGGCCCAAAAAGCATGGAGGAAGTGAGTTGAAGAGGCATGCAAGGAGTCACCAGGCCAGAATGGCCAGAGGACAGGGAGAGAGAGCCCTAAAGGACGGCACACATGGAAAGGGAGTGAGGGCAAGCAATGGCCCACAGAGCCAGAGAGGCTGACAAGAGGCCCCTGGCTGGAGACTCTGCTCCCAGCTCAGATCTCCAGGAGGTTACTCTGCTCAGGGCTGCCCCCAGGGGCTTTCTCTGGGGGTGCTGGAGAGGCCGAAGGTCGAGGTGTCTGACTGGCTTCCTCTTCCCCCACACTGCGGCCCTCCCCCAGATCCTTGGGGCCGCTGGCTGGGGGTCCTGGGCCTGGCTCTCCGTGGGTACGCTGGTGTTTGCTCAGGTGGTCGCTTCTGGTAAAGCGTTTGGAGCAGAGCAAGCAGGTGAACTTCTTCTCCCGGGTGTGAGTGCGCACATGCCGCTCCAGCTCGTCAGAACGGGTGAACCTCTTTCCGCAGAAGAGCCAGTTGCAGACGAAGGGCCTCTCCCCGGTGTGCCAGCGCAAGTGGGCTTTCAGATGTGAGGCCTTGCCATACACCTTGCCACAGCCAGGAATGTGGCAGCTGTGAATAGGCTTCTTCCGCAGCCCAGCTGCTGCCGCCCCCAGGCGCTCCAGCTCCTGGCAGTTGGGGCAGTCACAGGAGGAACGCCCTGCCCCACTGCCCCCATAGCCACCACTGCCCCCTGTTCCTGCACCTCGGGGGGTTTTGGCTCCACCACTCCCCTCCAGCTGCCCACTATTGCCAACTGCCTTGGGCTTATAGACATCTTGGGCCAGGACGTGTTGGGGCCCTGGTTGCAGGAGATGGGGTGCTGGGTAGGGAGCCGGATTAAGGGGGGCAAAGTCAGTTGGGTAGGTAGGCAGCTGGGGGTTCAGTGGAGGCTGAGCAGGGCCTGTTGGCAGTGTCCCTTGCAGCCCATCACCCTGGCCCTGCCCACCACCTAGCCAGTTGCCCCCAGGGTGCATATCCCACCAAGGACTAGGAGTGTTGCCTGGGCCTGGTGAGATGCCTGCATGGATGCCCGCTTTGTACCAAGAGCCGTAGGGGTGTGCCATATCCAAAGAGGTGTAGACACTGGGCAGGCAGTCAGAAGAGCTGTGGCCCTTGGGCACTAGTAGCCCAGGGTCCTGGGTGCTTGTGGGCCCAGGGAAAGAGTGGGAAAAGGGCGGATAGTCATTGGCATAGCCAGAAGTGGGTGCTGGAGGACTGCCTGCAGGTGAGAGGAGCCCATTGGTGCTTGAAAAGGGGGCTGGGTAGGCATCCCCCATGGTTTTAGGAGCTGAAAGATCAGAGTATGGCTTCTTTGTGCCTGTTTTGCTCAGTGTTGTTGAGTCCCGCAGCGGGCTGGAACCACCAAACTTGCTGCACGCTGCTGTCAGCATGGCCAAGGGACTGGAGCCATAGTGAGCTTCCTCCTATGGAAAGAAGCAAGCACTGCTTAGGGGGAGGAAAGAAGGGGGAAAAAGAAGGACAAAACTCTAGGACAGACCTAGAGACATGGGAAACAGCAGAGGGATCAGGGAAGAACTGAAAGGACAGAGAATCAGAGGGAAGTGATCTGTGTCAGTGAGGCCTGCCATCAGGGCAGAGCTAACATAGGGTCTTGGAAACAGCAGAAGCCCAAGACTGCAGCCCAATTCCCCAACTCAGCAGCCAGGAAGCCGAGCCCACTGTGGAGTTCCTGGGGATATTCAAGGGACTTTCAGGGACAGGAGACTCTTTAAATGGCTAAGAGAAGAGCTGGGACAGAAGCAGTGCCAGAGGGAGAGGACAATTAAGGTCTTGACCCCAGGGAATGAGTTTGGAGAAAACAGAAGCCAGTGTCAGGGACTCAGAGGGGAAAAATGCAACTCAAAGACAAAGAGAAACCTGGGGTCAGGTGTGGGGGTGCATGTTGTAATCCCAGCACTCTGGGAGGCTGAGGCAGGAGGATTGCAAGTTTGAGCCCAGCCTGAGCAACTTAGTAAGACCTTTTCTCAAAATAAAAAATGAAAAAAAGGGTGGGGATGTGGCTCAGCATGAAGGCCCTGGTTTCAATCTCCAATACTGGGGGCTGAGGGGTGAGATAAAAACAGCATGGGGAGAACAAGAAATAGGGGATTTTATCTGCCCCCATTCCAGATTTTCTTGGCTTCACCGCATATTCCACTTCCTGTCTCTGCTTCAGCTCCTGACTAAAGCAGTGGCGTGGTCTCCCTCAGGTCCAGTCTGCATGTCTCTGGTAAGGAATCTCTTGGCAGAGACTCTGCAACTGGGGAGCAAACGGAAGCAATGGCAGAGACACTGGGACATTGAGAGGGAACAGGGCTTCTGCCAAGCCAGGACTGTGGCTGAGGCAAGAATGTCTTTCAAGCGGGCAGTGGGCACCTCCTGCTGTTTGGTACCAACTGGTACCCCTTGGGCAGATGGAAGAGCCCAAGCCCTCAGATCCCTCCAAGGCATGAAATTAGGGTGGCTAAGATACCCACTCTCAGCCGCACCTCTTCGTGGCTCAGTGGCCCCAAACATGTAGACATGTAACTTGTCTCTCTTCACACTTCAAGGGCAATAAGTAAAGGAAAACAGGCATGTGAGGAAGGGGAAACTTTAGAAATGAAAAGGTATCTCCTTAATGCCCACCATGCTGCTGCTACCAGGCAGAACCACCCTCAAGACCACCACCCCTCAGGAGCTCCTGACATCCTTCCCTCAGTCAGGCCTAGGACCTCCCAGGAGATACCCTCTAGCATCTGTTACTGAGAATAATGGCATGGATGCCTTGTGGAGCTGTCTCTGTGTAGTTGCCTGATTGGGGGCCTCAAAAGTCAAGTGGCTAATGTCTTCCTAGTAAAGCTAAGAAGAGAACCCAAGAATTCAGGGTTCTCAGACCCACCCAGCAGCTCCTAGCATGTGGTATGTATGTGCGATGCCAACCCTAGAAGTCAGTCTAGGGTGTTAAGGTTGCCCAGAAGAGCACATGCAATCATGACTGCTGCTCCCCTGCCTAGTTAGCTCCCTTTCTGAGGTCCTGTTGACCTAAATTTGAGCCAATGAAAGCTTTTTCCTCAGGGTTTCCCAGTCAGGATTTCCTGTGATCCTCTGAGCAGAAGGTGAACTAAGGCAGGATAGCTAGTGGGCACAAGTCAAAGCATAGCTGGGGGAGGGGTAGGAACACAGAGTTCAAATGAGACAGGAAGAGACTCAGACACATGGGATGGAAAGAACTCTGTGCTAGGTGAGGAACTGTCATAAAAGTTCTATGGGGACAGGGAAAGGGTGACTAGCAAAGAGGAAATGTGCATTAAAAGGCAAAATGGACAAGGACCCCAAAAAGCAGAAAGTTGGGCTGGGGCTTTAGCTCAGTGGTGCCGCTGCTTGCCTTGCAAGTGCAAGGTCCCAGGTTCAACCCCCCAACTACTGAAAAAAAAAAAAAAGCAGAAGGTTAAAAATACAAAAGGGAAAGTGAGAGAGGAAAACAAAGGAGAGTGGTGGAAGGAGCTGGGCTAGGAAAGCTAAGGAAAACAGCTAAAAGACGGGAAAGAAAGACAGGGGAAGAGAAAGAAGGCGGGCTTTCCACCTAAGAGAAAAGCCACCATGGCACTGGGCCCCAGAAAGCCCCCAGACCAGGCCACCCCTCCCTCCTTCCCCCTGACCAC